AAATCTAAAGGCCCTCCCGTTGATCGTCGATTTGCTCGAGCGGGCCCAGTAACGTCTCCATTGGAGACTTTGTTGTTACTGTGTCTGGCATATCGAATACTCTCGGTAGCTTGCCGGGCTCTCCGAGAGGGGCGGAGGAATCGAACTCGGGTCGGCCATGTTGGCCGCTTGTAAGGCGATCGCCCTACCCGCTGTGCTATCGCTCCAGCCCAATTACAAATAAGCAAAAATAAATCTACAAACAATTCAAAAGCAAAAGTATCTACATGGCTAATATGCAATTAGAAAAGCAAACCATATTAATTATCAGTAAAACCACAAGTTAGTAGCACATAGACATAAAGTTACATTCATTCAGCAAAGGAAGATAGCTTAAAGGACTGAGCACATGCTCTGCCTGCAGTAAATCTGGATTCAATCTCCAGCTCTACATAGACCCTAAAGTCCTGCTAAAACTATCCACAAAATAAAAGTAGTTCCTGAGCATTCTTGGTGTCACCCCAAAACCAAAATGATAGCAATGAAATTTTAAAAAGTTATATAACAAAAACTTACTAAATATCATTCATATATCTAAATAGCAAAATAAAGAACATTTTTAAAAGATTGTTCTCAGCTTTGCAGTAGAATAATAATATAATATATATCTCCGTGTAGTTTAAATAAGTAATTTCTGGGGCTGGAGTGATAGCACATGGGTAGAACATTTGCCTTTCATGTGGTCAATCTGGGTTCTATTCCCAGCATCCCATATAGTACCCTGAACACTGCCAGGAATAATTCCCGAGTGCATGAGCCAGGAGTAGCACCTGTGCATTGCCAGGTGTGACCCCCAAAAAATAGGGAAAAAAAGGGTTTTTTTGGCAGGGAATATGTAAAGATTAACGTAAAAATTAACGTGTTCATTTATTGATCACCACTGGGATTGTGACCCAAAACGAAAAAAAAGCACATTTATTTTTATTACAAAACCACATTATATGATCGGAGAAAAAAATGTCTTAAACACTATGGACACTATGCATACACAATTAATGAACTGAAGATCTCAATATGCTGACTAAAAGTTTCTAAGATTAAACCAAAAAATTGCATAACAATATAAGTAGCTCTGTAGCACTGTCCTCCTGCTGTTCATTGATTTGCTTGAGTGGGCACCAGTAATATCTCACAATAAATTGTGAGACTTGTTGTTACTCTTTTTAGCATATTAAATACAGCACAGGTAGCTTGCCAGGCTTTGCCATGCGGGCGAGATACTCTCAGTAGCTTGCCGGGCTCTCCAAGAGGGGCAGAGAAATCATACCTGGGGACAGTATACGTAGATTTATATAAGCAAAAAATATCATTTTTTGTTAACATTTTAAAAATGAAGACAACTGAAATTACTACTCTTATTAAAGTCATATCTGCTGTTTTAGGTGAAATCTTTAATGACAAAGACTATATTGCTAAAAAACAACTCTATATTTAATTCTAAAATTTGTTATAAACTATGCTATTCAACATTTTAATCTTGAATTGACTTTTATATATTCTCTGCTTATGATATTTTAATGCTATCCTTTTTCCTTACATAGCTTAGATACTTGGTCGTGGTACCAGGGCTCCGGCAGCCGAAGACCTCCAGGACCAGCCACCACCATGCTGAGACCACTCTCCGCACACATGAAGGTACTGGCAGAGGGACAAAGCCACGTGGGTTCCGGGGCCGAGATCTCCAAGCCTACTCGGATTGGAGTCGAGCATCCTCCACCCAGATCCTCCAAATTCCAGTAGGCGGGGGTCACACCCACCAACTGGCCCCCTGGCACCCATCAACTGCCAAGACTCAGAGACTATAAAATCCAGCTCCCGGAACCGCGTGGCCGGATTCGCGGTCGCGCAACATATTATCAGGACATCTTTTTATGACATCTTATTATCTCATTCCTACTTTGGACAAACTTGCAGGCTATCGAATGTAGCCTGCCCACAGGGCAGAGTCTGGCAAACTCCCCGTGGTGTACCAAATATGCCATATACCAGTAACAATGATGGGTCTCATTCTCCTAAAGAGCCTTGAATATAAGGGCTAGGATGAAAGAGACGTTACTGGGGCCTGCTCGAGGCAATCAACGAGTAACAGGATGATAAATGAATGAATGAATGAGCTTAGATACTAATTTTACAAGTATGTCGAATTTTAGGGCTGTCAAATGTATGGAAAAAATTCTAAGTGAAAAAAATCTCTGCTCTCCAAGTTGTAAAAACTGCTTTGCAAAAATTATCTTGTCTGTGAATACACATTTATTTTCAATAAAATGTCTTGAGTACACGTTCTTAAGCAATGATAGATGTATACAAATATGAAAAATAAGTTGATTATTTGAAATTTTTATTTAGTTCATTATGGCATTTTCTCTTCTCTCTTTTGTTCTATCCAACAGAAGATATTTATAAACTCTTAATTAACTAAATAATTATAGTCTATATTTTACTCTATTACATATGTATACATAAAAGTCTACACTTGTGAATTACTGTACTTGATTGACACAGTGAACTGTTGCTGAATAGTGACTTAATCTTAGGACATCAGGAATCGGAACAGAAAAAACTACTGAAACCTAAACAGAGAAAAGGGGATTGCTTCAATTCACCTGCAGCTAACCCACCAAATGGGACATCCTATTTATTGAGAAATGCTGTGCCAAGGATATCACATTTAATGACTTTGGCAAAAAGAATGATTTTCATCAGCTGTAACAAACAAGTTCCTCATCTCCAACCCTACCATCTGTCCTCCTGGTTCCCACCCAGAACTCTATATATGGGCTCAGTTGAACAGGTTTCAGACTGCCTAAGGTCACTGCACAATCAACCTTAACAGATGGCATCACAGTGAACATCTAAACTGTAGCAGTGGCCAAATGCAGAGGATAATCCTCACTGCTGAGGAAGAATACCCTCTGTGCATGCCGCCCTGATGTTCTGATTCTAATAAACATTTCACGTGAAAATGAGGCTCCATAGTCTTTATTTTAATAGCATAAGTGGATTGACCTTTACACCAGCTTGCCAGTTCATTTTATATCTTAAAACTTGTTTTTCAGCATTTTATTATTTTTGTATAATCAAAGATAATAATATATATCTCTGGTATTATCTTTTAATCATCAAAATACAATTTGCATTTAAGAGGATAAATTAGGTAAGTGTTTTTGTAAGACATAAGTGTATAGTGGGAAATTACTGTTTTCCCCAGTAATTGTCACACTGCTTAAAATAACTATAAGTAATTAATGAGAGGAATAACATCTTTTTACATAATATTTAGTTATACTTAGTTCTAGTAAAGAAAGTAGGGTTTGGAGCAATAGTACAGCAGGTAGGGCATTTGCCTCACACGCAGCCAATCTGGGTTCAATCCCGGCATCCCATCCCCAGGCAGTGCCAGGAGTAATTCCTGAGTGCAAAGTCAAGAATAACCCAAGCCTCGCTGGGTGTGACCAAAAAACCAATAATGATGATGATGATGATGATGATGATGATGATGATGATGATGAAAGTGGACCCATACACCCATTCCTATCTATCTCTAGTGGAATTGATTTTTTAATATCTCTGTATATTCAGTGAAGGAATTTATTTCTACTCTCTAATTCTTAATTCCATATTTTAGTTATTGGTAGATTCAATCTGTATTTTTTCTAGCTTTATTATTTACAAATAAAATGTTAGACTATATAACCCATAATCTCCTCCAATAGAAATAACACTAATCATAGATAATAATCTCTTCCAGGTACTCCAGAAACTAAGTTCACATCCTTCAAGTGGAAGTTGGAGAAATATTTTTTGAATCACAGTGGTCCAGGAGCGATAGATAGCACAGTGGTAGGGCGTTCGCCTTACAAGTGGCCAACATGGCCGACCCAAGTTCGATTCCTCTGCCCCTCTCGGAGAGCCCGGCAAGCTACCGAGAGTATTCAATATGCCAAACACAGTAACAACAAAGTCTCCAATGGAGACGTTACTGGGCCCGCTCGAGCAAATCGACGATCAACGGGAGGGCCTTTACCTTTACCTTTACCTTTACAGTGGTCCAGAAAGTATTTATAGATACTAAGATCTTGGAACTCTTGATTAAAATTAGAAAGCAAAGATTCTATAGTAACTCTAAAATACTTTGAAGGAAAGATAGAGTTGAGGCATCATATTTTAAATTAGAATAAAGTTAAAAAGGTAAAGGTAAAGGCCCTCCCGTTGATCGTCGATTTGCTCGAGCGGGCCCAGTAACGTCTCCATTGGAGACTTTGTTGTTACTGTGTTTGGCATATTGCATACTCTCGGTAGCTTGCCGGGCTCTCCGAGAGGGGCGGAGGAATCGAACTCGGGTCGGCCATGTTGGCCGCTTGTAAGGCGAACGCCCTACCCGCTGTGCTAGCACCTTCCTGCATGTGGCACCCCTGGCCCAGCTGGGCAGCATGTGGCTGCGGGTTGGAGTGCTGAAGGCTGGAGCCAGGTGGGCCGAGCCTGGCCCGGGAGGCAGACTGTCTCCTTATCGAGATGCGGAGTGGACTCCTTGGTGGGGCTCGGGGGGTCCTAGCAGAAGCCCGGCTGCTGCCTTCCCAAGCCCTGAGCACAGCCTGCAGAAACACGTGGGCCTGGAAGAATAAAGTTAAATCAATGAAAAATAGGAAGAAAAAAATTTTAAGCTATAGTATCAATTTAGAACATCAAAAATGGACTAAAGGAAATATAAAACTAAAAGAATATTTTCAGTAGCACTGCAGCACTGTCCTCCCCTTGTTCATCAATTTGCTCGAGCAGGCACCAGTAACGTCTCCATTGTGAGACTTATTGTTACTGTTTTTGGCATATCGAATATGCCATGGGGAGCTTGCAGAGCTCTACAAGAGGAGCAGAGGAATTGAACCTGGGTTGGCCACATGCAAGGCATATGCCCTACCCACTGTGCTAAATTTCTGAGAATTTATAAGGACATTTTGTTTGGTATATTGTATGAAAGGACAGACAGTTAGCACTTCCCTTGACAAGAATGGAAAAGGTTTGGGCCTGCAATACACTTATGGTTAAGGTGCCCCATCTACTTAGTGGCATCTAACCAACGTTTTTTAACCCCAATGAAATACTAACAGTTAAAGATATAATTTCTGAGAAGTTCTCAGAGGTAGAAAATGCAGGTATCCAGATCCTAGGAGCCTGAAGTTTACCATCTAAAGGATACCCTAATAAAAAGGATCCAATACATATCATAATGAGAATGATAGATAACATAGATACAGACACAATACTGCAAGCAGCAAGGTCAAAGAAGAAAATCACATACAAAGGAGCAGCCCTTAGATTTACAGAAGACTTATCAGAGAAAACCTTTCAACCACGAAGACAATGGTGGGATATAGTGAAAAAACTCAATGAAATGAACGCCTCACCAAAAATACTTTATCCTGCTAATCTCTCACTTAAACTTGAAAAAATGATACACTATTTCATAGATAAACAACAGCTCAGGAACTTCATAGACTCAAAACCAACATTAAAAGAAGCACTAAAGGGGCTAATGTAAGAGAAGAAAAATCCCTACAAGCACAATAAACATCTACAGAAAGATGGCAGATGGAACAAAACTCCATGACAATTATCTCTCTCAATATCAATGGCCTACATGCATCAAATAAGAGAAACAGAGTGGCAAAATGGATAAAAAAAAAACTGAACCCAACATTCTGCTTCCTACAAAAGAACACAGCTAAACAGTCAGCAAACACAGACTCAAGGTCAAAGATGAAAAACAATCCTTCAATCAAACAACTTTGTGAAAAAAAATCCGGGGTGGTCATACTAGTATCCAAGGAATAGGAAAGGCCATTTTTTAATAATCAAGGGATATGTACAGCAGGAAGAAATCACACTCCTAAACATATACACACCCAATGAGGGACCTGCTAGATACTTAAAACAACTGCTAATAGACTTCAAGGAGGACATTGGTAGAAACAAAATAATAGTTGAAGACATTAACACCACCTTATCACCTCTGGATAGATAAACAAGATTAAAACTCAGCAAGGAAACACTGGCTTTTCAAAGAAGAAATAGAAGAGAGAGGGATAATAGATGTATACAGGGCTTGCCATTCCGAAAAAAATGGAATACGTATTATTTTCCTGTGCACACAGAACATTTTTCAAGATAGACCACATGCTGGGTCACAAAACATAACTCAATAGAATCAGGATGATAGAAATTGTATCAACTATCTTTTCAGACCACGATGCACTGAGAATAGAAGGGAAACACACACAGACACAGAGAACCAAATCAACCACCTGGAAATTGAACAGCTCAATATTGAACAACAAGTTGGTCAGGGAGGAAATCAAGGAAGAAATAGAAAGAGAAACAAATGATAATGAAGAAATGAGCTACCAGAAGCTTTGGGATGCAGGTAAAGCCATATTAAGGGGAAAATTTATAGTTCTGCAAGCATTTCTCAGGAAGGAAGAAAGGGCCCACATAGATAACCTGACTTCGAGGCTCAAGATCTTAGAAAAGGACCAACAAAAGGAGACCAAGCTAGGAAGAGGGAAAGAAATAATATAACTTAGACCAGAAATTAATGACATGGAAATAAAAAAAAACAATCTGAAAAATCATTAAAACCAAGTGCTGGTTCTTTAAGGAAATAAATAAGATTGATGAACCACTAGCAAGACTCACAAAGAAAGAGAAAGAGAGAATGCTAATAAACTGAATCAGAAATGAAAAGGGGGACATCAAAACAGAAACCAAAGAAATTCAAAAGATCATCAGAGATTACTTTGAAAGTCTCTATGCTGTGAAACAAGAGAACCTAGAAGAAATGGATATATTCATGGATTTCTATAATCTCCCAAGGCTGAACCAAGAAGATTTGGAATACCTGAGTAGACCTGTTACTATCATGAAAATTGAAACTGTAATCAAAAGTCTTCCCAAATAACAAAAGCCCAGGTTCAGATGGATTCACTAGAAAATTCTTCCAAACATTTAAAGAGGACCTATTGCCAGTTCTTCTCAAGCTTTTCCAGGAAATTTAAGAAACAGAAACACTCCCATACAGTTTCTATGAAGCACATATCTCCCTAATACCAAAAGCAAAGAGAGACATGACAAAAAAGAAAATTAGAGGTTAATATCTCTGATGAACATGAATGCAAAGATCCTCAACAAAATATTAGCAAACAGAATCCCACAACTTATCAAAAAGATCTTACACCATGACCAACTGGGATTCATCCTAGCGATGTAAGGATGGTATAACATTCAGAAGTCAATCAATATAATCCATCATACCAACAAAAGAAAAGATATAAACCATATGATCATATCAATAGATTCAGAGGAAGCATTTGACAAGATCCAGCACACATTTATGATGAAAACTCTCACTAAAAATGGATATTTAAGAAACTTTCCTCAATATAGTCAAAGCCATCTACAAAATCCTATGCCAAGCATTATCCTCAATGGGGAAAACTAAGAGCCTTCCCTCTAAGTTCAGGGACAAAACAAAGATGCCCACTCTCATCACTCCTATCCAATATAGTACTGGAAGTACTTGCAATAGCGGTTAGGCAAGAAAAAACATACTAAGGGCATTCAAATAGAAAAGGAAGAAATCAAGCTATCACTATTTGCAGATGATATGATACTATAGTTAGAGAACCCTAAATCCTCTCCCAAGAACTCCTAGAAACAATAAACTTGTATAGTAACGTTGGAGGCTGTAAAATCAATACCCCAAAGTCCATTGCTTTCCTATACACAGATAATGAGAGAGAAGAGAGTGATATGAAAAAAAGTATCCCGTTCACAACCATGCCTCAGAAAATAAAGTACCTCAGAATCAGCTTAACAAAGGAGGTGATAGACCTATACAAAGAAAAATACAAAACACTACTTCAAGGAATAAAAGAATACACAAGGAATTGGAAACGTATCCCCTGCTCATGGTTTGGGAGAATTAACATTGTCAAAATGGCAATACACATACAGATTCAATGCGATCCCTATAAGGATACCCATGACATTCTTCAGAGAAATTGATCAAACCCTCCTGATCTTCGGATGGAACAATAAGCCTCCACGAATAGCTAAAGCAATTTTTGGGAAAAATAAAAGTTGGGAGGCATCACGTTCCTCCACCTCATACTACAAGGAGGTAATAATTAAAATAGCATGTATTGGAACAAAGGCAGAGCCACATACCAATGGAACAGGATTGAGTATCCTTACACACACACTTAAATATATGATCATCTAATCTTTAATAAGAGAGCAAGAAATGTGAAGTGGAGAAAGGAAAGCCTCTTTAACAAATGGTACTGGCAAAACTGGACAGCTACATGCTAAAAACTGGACTCAGACCTCTTCCTAACACTATGCACAAAAGTAAGGTTAAAGTGGATTAAAAACCTCAACATCAGACCAGAATCTATCAGGCACAATGAAGAAAAGGTCGGCAAAACCTTCCAAGACATTGAAGCTAAAAGTATCTTCAAAAATGAAATGCCACTGACCAAGCAAGTGGAAACAGAGAGATACAAATGGAACTATTTTAAACTAAGAAGTTTCTGTACCTCGAAAGAAACAGTGACCAGAATACAAAGACAGTGCACAGAATGGGAAAGTATATTCACCCAATACCCATCTGATAAGGGGTTAATATCAAGGATATCCAAGGCACTGGTTGAACTCTACAAGAAGTAAACATATAATCCCATAAGAAAATGGGGCAATGAAATGAACAGAAACTTTCTCAAAGAAGAAATATGAGTGGCCAAAAGGTACAAGAAAAAAATGCTCTAAATCAATAATCATCAGGGACATGAAGATCAAAACAACAATGAGATATCATCTCAAACCACAGAGACTGGCACACAACCAAAAGAACAAAAGCAACTGGTGCTGTCGTGAATGTGGGGAGAAGGGAACTCTCCTTCACTGCTGATGGGAATGTTAACTGGTTTAGCTCTTTTGGAAAACAATATGATGTTTCTAAAAAAATTAGAAATTTACATCCTATTTGATACAGCAATACCACTTCTGGGAATATATACAGAGATGCAAAAAAAAAAAAAACCAGTGGAAATGATATCTGCACTTGTATGTTTATTTCAGCACTATTTGCAATAGCCAGCATCTGGAAAATAAATAAGTGCCCGAGAACAAATGACTGGTTAAAGAAACTCTGGTACATCTACACAATGGAATACTATTCTGCTGTTAGAAAAGATCAAGTCATGAAATTTGCATATAAGTGGATCGACATGGAAAGTATCATGCTAAGTGAAATAAGTCAGAAAGAGAGGGACAGACAGAGAATGACTGCACTCATTTGTGAAATATAAAGTAACATAATGGGAGATAGGGACCAGGAGGATTGCTCCATGGCTTGGAAGCCAACCTTATATGTGGGGTGAAAGGCAGGTGAGATAGAGAAGGGACCACTAAGTAAAGATGCTTGATGGGTCACTTGGGATAGGAGATACATTCTGAAAGTAGACTATAGACTGAAAATGATGGCCACTTAATACTTATATTGCAAACCATAACACCCAGAATGAGAGAGAGAGAGTAAAAGGGAATATGCCTGCCACAGAAGCGGGGGTCAGATGGGGTGGTGGTGGTGGGAGGGATACTGGAAACATTGGTGGTGGAGAATGGGCACTGGTGAAGGGATGGATACTTGAACAGAAATGCCACTCAATGCCTCTTTTGCAACCCACACACCCAAAAGAAGACAACAAAAGGGAATGCCCTACCACAGAGGCAGGATGGGATTGGGGGATGGGGGCATGAGAGGGATACTGGGATCATTGGTGGTGGAAAATGGGCACTGGTGGAGGGATGGGTATTCAATCATTGTATAACTGAAATCCAAGCACAAAAACTTGTAAGTCCACAACTGTACATCATGGTGTTTCACTAATAAAAATAAAATAAAATATAAACTATATGTACTAATTTTTGGCATAGTAATCATTTAAAGGTTGGTTATTCCCAGTATGCATCTCAGCATTCACTCCAGATTTTTCATAAGGGACCATGCAGTTTGGGGACTAAACCTGG